TATATATATATAAAATTAATTAATTAATTAATTAATTAAAACATGAAATGGGGTCTAAGGCTGTTGCTCATTGGCCTTGCAGCAGCCACGGCCCTGTAACAGATTACAATTAACAATTAGCAATTTATAAGCCGTGACAGAATATAATTTGAGAATAAAAAATGACTATTACAATCACAGGTTAGATGTTTCTAAATTAGAGTATTAAAAATAAGATAGGTTTTTTTTTCAATGAAAGCTAAAATTGAACTTAAAAAATTTAAAAGAAAATTTATATTTTCCCATACTTATTTTGATAGGAAAACATATTTAATTTTATATTATTTAATATTTATTTAAATTAGATGATTAACATTAAGTGGATTATAGAATAGGATATTGGGAGAGAAATGCTTATTTGGAGACTAGTTACCAATCATAAGGATGACTATTTTATACCTATATTATGGTTACAAAAGAATTTCATATAATTTGATTATTTTTAATTAATAATAATAATGATCATAATTTTCAATCTTAAATTCTGTGATTATTGTTGATCCAATAAGATTTAATTTTTGTTGGTTAAACATAGAATAATGGATGATGAGAGTACTAGAGTATCATCATGGAGTAAATGTTAGAAGAAGTTATAAGGTTTGGTTTGATGGGTTGTATTATTAAATTGAAAATTGTAGTAATTAGTATTTAGTAATTAGTAGTAGTTTATTAGAGAAGAAGTTGAGGAGGAGAGAAGGAGAAAGGAAGGAAGATTGGTGAAGGATTGGGAGGCGGAAGAGTAGGAATCGGAGAATCCTAAACGCTCAAAGACGCATACCCCAATATTTAGCTCAAAATAAATCCTCACCACACCGCACACTTTTTCTTTCTCTCTCTCCAATCTTGAAACCATTTTTCTCTCTTCCTTTTTCATTTTGAATTCAGCATGAACAATAGGTCTCAGGATCGACGCTCAAGACCTGCCAAGCCAGCCACCATCCATGGCTGTGCCCTCTCCGGCGACCTCCTTGGACTCCAGAGGCTACTTCGAGACAACCCTTCTCTCCTCAACGAGAGAAACCCTGTTGTAAGATCCCATTTCCACCAACTGGGTGTCTCCAAAATGTTTTCTTTTTTTTCTGATTAAACTTTCAAACTTAGATCTTTCTCATCTTCTGTGTGATAAAGTTTGTGTTTTTGTTGATGGGTCGATGCCATTTTTCAGTTCCCACTTCTTTGTGAATTGAGGGTTTGGAATGATGTGCGTAACTTTCAGATCTACTTGGTCATGGCTTTAACAAGCGGGTATTTGATTCATTGTATGATTAAATGGTAGGTTTGTGATCTTATGAAAGAGTAGACTCAGTGGGGTGGTAGGAATATGTATTAGTGTAATATTGGGATTACCTTGATTGTACTACTGTATTTTGATCCTCATATTTTGCTATTCTAGCTCCTTTTTTGTTCAATTTGTCTGTTACATTGAGAATTGAAAGACAAATGTGAGATAAACATGTATGTTAGGTACCATGGGGATTGATAAGGGGTTGCGGCTTATTGGCAATTGCTTTTCATGATATTTTTTGGGTGCATTTTGGTTGAAGAGGAATTGTGTTGGTTTTTGAGGGGCAGACTATATATCTTTCGACTTGTCATGATGGGAAATGACTATTTTATGCCTTCTTTTTGCTGATGATTTGCTAGGTTTTTGTCTTGGGTTTTATGTGACAAATGTGAAATTTGGGGCTTCTAGTATTAAGGTTTTAAAAAGGTTGGTTGTAGTTCATTTGTAAGTAAGCTTCTTGCTTGGATTGTCTCTATATACTTGTATTTTTATTTCCTGCTTTATATGATTCCACATCGTCCTTGTAATTTTACTTGCCTAAGGATCTCATCTGTTATAAATACAGATGGCACAGACACCACTTCATGTCGCTGCTGGTCACAATAGGACTGAGATAATTAAATTTCTTCTTGATTGGCAAGGGCCAGATAAGGTTGAAATGGAGGCCAAGAATATGGTATGTACTCTCTATTTTCTACTTATTCTTAGAATATAAATATATAAAATCTAGGTACCCATTGATTGTCATGCAATTCTGAAAAGGTTTATGTTTATCACTGTTGCAGTATGGAGAAACTCCGTTGCACATGGCAGCAAAGAATGGGTGCAATGAAGCCTCACAACTACTTCTTGCTCGTGGTGCTTTTGTTGAAGCCAGAGCAAATGTGATTTTTTTGTCACTTCATCTGTCACTTAATATAATTTAAACCAAGCAAGAAAGAATTGTTTTTATGCTTTGAAAACTTTTTCTTGCAGAATGGTATGACACCTTTACATCTTGCTGTATGGCACTCACTACGAGCAGAAGAATTCTTAACTGTGAAAACGTTGCTTGAGTACAATGCTGATTGCAGTGCTAAGGACAATGTAATGAACTCAGTTGTCTGTTATTTTAACATTTTTGGTGAAATTGTAATGGATGCTCAAGCCTATGTGAATTGCAGGAGGGAATGACTCCTATAAATCATCTGTCCCAAGGCCCTGGAACTGAAAAACTTAGGGAACTATTAAACTGGCATCTTGAAGAGCAGAGGAAGCGACGAGCCATTGAAGCATGCAGTGAAACCAAAGCTAAAATGGATGATCTTGAGAATGAACTATCAAAGATTGTGGGTCTTAATGATCTAAAAATACAACTACGCAAGTGGGCTAAGGGCATGCTTTTGGACGAGAGGCGAAGAGCTCTTGGTCTACATGTTGGAGCAAGAAGACCACCTCATATGGCCTTTCTTGGAAACCCTGGAACAGGTTTTAAGAATATCATGAATTAATGTTTCATTGTGTTTAGAATATCTCTCACATTATCTGCAACCAATATTATAAATTGTCTTGTTGTACACCTATTTTCATTTTCTCCATTTACCATTTCATGCTTTAAGATTTATTATTGTTTGCCTTTTTATTGAATTCTCATGTTTATATTTGAGCCAGCTTGGCTTGATCTTCCCATGTATATGCGCATTTGCATGACCACTCAATTGATATATATATATATATATATATATATATATAAAAATATGATTA